AAGCTTGTATTTATGAACAGATTAACCCGATCTAGGGATGAGGGACTAATGACAAGTGCGGTATTTTTCGAATTATCAAAGGCATCCGATTGGGTGCAGCACGTCTCGTTGCTCCACAAACTCGGGTCTTACGGGGTTCAAGGCGAAACTCTACACTACATGTGGGCGTTGGTATCAGACAAAGTGTTCTGAGTGAAAGTAGGCTCGACCCTTTTTTATCCACTGGTCTATATTGATGTTCCTCAAGGTTCTGTTTTTGGACCACTTTTCTCTCTGATTTACGTGTGGTAATGATGGTGACCTTGGCCACGCATATTTCTCTGCACATGCACCTTTCGTGGACACCTGACATATACGCAGCGCCGGAAAACTTGAGTAACTGTGTTGTGAATCCGCGAGCCCGTACTAGGGAAACACTCCGGGCAAATTGTAAACAAAAATTGTGCAACCTAAATAGAACAGACAAGCGCCAACCCACAGGTGGTTCAGGACTTTCATCCGAAGCCATACTAACTGCCTTCAGCAACGATGAATGAAACGCATTGACTTAGAATTGACTTCATTAAATGAAACGGAACATTAGGTGGGCATTAAAACCTCAACATGAGGCTGTCAGCGCAATGAAGTTGACATGCCATAATGAAAACAAGCAATGATGTTATTAACTTGCCACAGTTGATTTAACAAATAAATAATCTAACGGACCTTTTTCAACTCCATGCAGTGGCCGGGTGTGAATAGTTACGTCATGTAGCGGTTGAATGCCGGACGTTAAACGTTTGAAAAGAGCAAAAACACACGCTGGCGCTGGTGGTGATTCCACTCCATAAATTTGAAGGCCTGTAAACACACTCGCGGTGCGCTCAGTTTACGGTTCATGCGGTGATTCCACTCAAGAAATTTGAAAGCCTGTACGTGGCATTGAATGGCATTGAGTGGCATTCAACGAACACTGAGGCACGATTGACTCCCGATCCATATTGTCGGCCAATCAGAACTCGTCGTGACCTTGACACAGAGGGGTAGGCCTCCTATCCAATCACTTGCCAGTAGACCATTTTAGCCGTTGCACGATTCGTCGGGCCTGGGATTTCGCCGATGGCCACTCGAAGTAGCCGCACTGACACATACCGGGACGCCATAAAGACAAGCCAGGAACCCTGAACCTCAAACATGGATTGGAAACCTCCACTCTAGTGGAGCAGACATATAAGGACGCTGAGCGTAGGTTTCACGAAGGTGATGTTCAGTTCGTTCAAAGGTATCCGGTGCGCACTCAAATGAATCAAAAGCTTCCCAGGAGTATTCGACATTTTTTTGGAAGTGTTGCAAGCTGTTCTTCAGGAAGCTAACTAATCAGGACTCAGAAGACCAGCAGTCACTGCGTAGGATGTGGAACCGCAGGAAATCAGATGTCCACCGACTGACATTGCAAGAACAGGCCACGGCACTTAGCTTCATCCTGGAAAACTTACTATATAGGTAAAAGATACGCCGCAAAAGAAACAAGTCAACGGGACAAACCGGGAGGCAGAGGATGTTCCAAAAGTGGTCCCTGGGGCCTGTTTTCTGCCCCAGCCAACTCAGCACATTCACTCTTGGCAAGACGGAACTGAGAACCATCTCTAACTGACTCGATGTTTACGGAATAACTCTTTCCCAAGAGAAGCCCATCCGGCGCACTGTAGGGAAGGAGTGACTTGCATTCACGAATTGTGATTTCGAGGCATTTCTGCCTAATATTTCGTCAGTCGTCCAACCTTCCCGCTTGGGAAGAAGCTATTGTAGCGTCTACCAATCTGGTGACCTTTTATCGCTTGACAGCTAGAGGCACCCGCCTTGCCGTCAAACCTTTGAGCCAAAGGCTTTAGCCCTGACAATTTCCCAGCCCGTGTCTAACCATGGTCACCACAATTAAAACGTTATCACGCCGCATCGGTCATCGCTTTCGGCCATTATCCGAACCGTCTTAATTGTTGCATCCCGTGGTTTAGTAGGCGCAATCATGCTAATGCTGATGGATCCCTTCCTACACGTTCACGTGTTCTTCCTTCTGCCTTACCCCGCTTCAACTTGAATACTCTCTTCACAGGCACCGGCAATTGGACCGACCAATTTGTTCGCCATACGTCACGGCCTGATGTGGCTCCTGTGCGTCCCTGTTTACTAACTTTACGACTACCATAAACTATCTCGAAATAGTTCGGTAGTTAAGGCCTACGGACCGGAAGGTTGTATTTCGAACACGATCTCAGCATCTCGACTGCTTCTGTCTATGTCTGGGCAACCTAGCAGTATTCCAGCCCTCGCCTCTCCCCTTTGGCGTGGGGGCGAGATGGGCCAAGTGGCTAGTGTGAATTTACTGACCGGAAGGTCCGTGGTTCGAGCCCGACCTCTGCCACCCGACTTCCCCTGTCTAGGCTTGGGCAACCTGGCAGTATCCCAGCCCTCGTGCAACCTTCAGGTGGCATGGTAGTTAGGCACCGAAAGGGTGCTGCAGCTGTTTGGCGTGGTAGCTAGGTACCAAAAGGGTAATAGAGATGAAAGACCAACCATAGGCACCCCGAAGCCTGTTTTCAAATCCCGAAAACCGGTCTACTTAGCTACCTTCAATGTTTTCACACTGAAGCGAGCATGACAACAAGCTTTTAGTGGTTAGCAGCCTTAATGAGTCTCTAACGAACTGAACAAACTATTAGTGTAAGTCAGATAAAATGTCACAAGGAGAAAAATCTATGGGAATCTTGACCCATACCTCACAAGAGGAAATTCCGCAGGTCAGTATTCCGTTGAATCACCATACCAAGAAGAGAAGGTTCTACTTTCCTGCTATTCCAAGTCTCCGGTAGTCGCAATATTGATCCACTGATGTGAATCGATAGGTCCAGTGTCTGCAGGTAGATTTTTTGTTCGCGTTGGTGATTAGTCAATGTCACAACATCAGTCACTCAGCAAAAGGTGCAAAATCCCTTTGGGCCCCAGAGGTGTGTGACCAATATTGACAGGGACAAGAGGGATGATAATAAGCAGGAAAAATAGCGGTTTACATGTGATACATGCTGGTCTTACTCGTACGCTGGATTACCTCTTCAATGACGTATGCTGTCTGTTAGATGCAAGGATCCAGGACGCAAGTCCTGTAATGTAACTTACTGCCCCATCGATCCATTTCAGGTTCCGGCTGCAGAGGCCGCTGCAGCTGGATATACGGGAATGAGCAATTGGCCAAAATTTTGTGCTCGATTGAATACCCGTGGATAGTCGCCTCTACGCGGCCCGTTTGGCAACGTCTGAAGGAATCTAAAGGAAGTCATATCCATCGCACCCTGTTTATCGTGTCTGCTTAAGCCCCAGTCGACTGTAGCACTGAATTTGCCAAGGACGGGCTTTAAGACGGTCTAGGCGCTCTTTTACAGAAAATTGCGGGCATCGTTGTGGTTGCTGGTAGATTAAGCACTACTGTGACTCATTACGGTGGTGGTCTTGGGTTGGACACGGAAAACGGTGAGCGCTTACTGCGGATGTGTGCCAATCGCAGACTGTTCCTTTACAGTACTGATTCCTGAAACAATGGAAATCGCTGCTGCAGTTCACAGAATACGCACATCTCATTTAGTTAATAAAAACCTCGTGGATCCAAAAATATGAAACCTTTCAGAACCGACTCCAATGCCTGATGTCGGATGTTAACGGTCACTGACGACAGATATCTAAAGTAAAGTGCTACTCAGGGCTGTAATTTCTGTCCGCTGCAAACCCCATCCAATCTCAATCAATCACTCGCTCTGATAAAACCGTAGCTTTGCTAGAGGTCCGGCGACAGGTTCTTCCTAATTCCAACCAGAGTGAAACCCAACGCCAGGTCAAGCTGACTGTCGGTGAATGCCGGGAAGCTGGGGGGAGCCGAAAGGCCGGACAAATGAAAGATACGAAAAATATGCAAAGTTCCGCAGACTCATTTACTTGATTCATTCGACTGCCAGCGAGACCATCACCAAAATGGTTCTCTGATATCCAACAGAGGAAACTGCTTGTACCAATGGTTGCGCTTCTTTGAACCACGATTGTTTATTACATTCTACCTCCAATCCAGAGCTTCAGTCCCAGAAGTCTTCCAAGTTTTCTACCCAAACGTCATCGTGCTCCTGGTGCCAAAGACCTTCTACCTGCTCTATTAAAGTACGACGGTGAATTACTCAGGTAGTGTCTGTCTTGCCTGTTAGCGTCAATCTGGAAGTAATAGGCCGTTCCAGACAATTGGGTTGAGTCGATAATAATGCCCATTTTCAAAAAGGGTTTTCAGGGTTCCTCAAGTAGTATATTATCAGACTTTGGGACGTGTGAGAGTATACGGAAAGCTCTCCAAAGGCTTCCGTACACACAGCGGTGTCCGTCATGGATACACACTCTCCGTTTCTATTTATTTGCGTGATCGATGAAATAATGAGACGAACGGTTGAAGGTTTCTGAAACCCCGATGTTCAACTAGCCTGTGACGAAAGCCTTGTCGATCCGTAATATGCAGATGA